TTTTGTAGAGTTACTATCGTTTTATTTTTCGCCTTTAAGAAAAAAAAATTGTTGAAAAAGCGAGCACACACGCAAGTATTTCTTTTCAAGTAGGTAGCCCAATTCGTTTGGTAAGTCGCCCGTATCGATAGATTATGTCGAGATAGAACAACGCGTGATAACGCGCACGAGATGTAGCCGTGACGAGGACTCGTGAAACGACGTTCGTTCCCCGATTTACTTCGAAAAAAAAAGCGTGCGAGAACGTACTGCGTCGCGCACACGATTTGTTTTAGTCACGGACGCAGAAACGCAGAATCGTTCGCCCATTATTAAACGCGTTCTCCCACTCTCCCCTCCCCCCAGCCCCAGATCCTCCCCCAAGCCCGACCCCCGAGCCCAACTTTTATTTATTACCGATTAGCTCGTAAGAAGACGTTCTACCGAGGTATGCTATACTTATAAATACACCCTATATATAGTGGAGTAAGCAACTTACATTACCTACCTACCTACCTACCTACCTACCTACCTATCCGCGCGCTTGACGGGTGGAACAAACAGATGAATCACGCAATCATACATTTAAGTTGCTACTTGGCACGTATACCTAAGTAATATACTAACATAAACAGTATGCAATAACAAATAAATATGAGAAACGAAAGATGTGTCTCGTTTTGCAGTGTCTACTCTTCCCTTCTACCCTCTTTCTTAAATCTCCTTGAATTTTAATAAAGTTATTCCAGTCTGATTCGCAGTGAAATAACATTCTCACGGTAAGATATTAATTAAGGAACTTCATTCTCGCTTGTACGAAGTTTTAAACGTCGACGGAGCCTTGATCGAGTTTCATGTGTCAGTTACATACATATCGTGCATGATGTATCCTGTACACAATCGCAAAATAATAACATATGTAAAGTTCTAACGAGTTAATACATTTTTCGGAAAACATTTATTTAGCAATGAGACATTTTATACAATATGATCGCAATATTAGTAAAGAAATAGTTCGCTAAAAACAATGATAAACATTATCGGTCTTAGCAATTTGTTGAATTAATTCTGAGTTACAAAAAAAATTCAACAGTATATTGCACATGTAATAATTAGGGCTCTTTCCTAGCTACAACCACATTGAGTCATGAAACGAAAAAACCATGTAAATCATTTCTTGTTATACATACATACATATATGTATACTGTGTCCACAGCATAAATTAATGAAATATAATATATCAAGGAACACGTTCATGTCGCCAAAGCAACTACTAGCCTGCTTGTTGAGCAAATGCATAAAAATATTAACTGTTTTATCGCAGCGGCTAACTTAATATTGCGTGGAAATTTTATCTTCACTTCAGGGTATATCCTTTTAATTAATAGAATTAATTTATATTATATTTATATATTTGCAAGAAAAAGAGTTTAAATGATTTTTTGCTTCCAATATCGTAACTGAATATGGCTGATGCCACGACAGAAGCCTTAAAATAATTACAAAAGTAAAATTATTATCAGTATTTCTGGCATAAATAAACATGTAAATACTATATTTCGCTTGCACTTCTCTGAAATTAAATTTTTTTTAAGAGTCTCATATAGCCTTTTTAAATCGAGAACCATAGAACTTTGTCCAATATTTTTACTGGTCCACGATTTAGAAAAAAAAATTAACTAAAAACATTTTTATTAACTATTCGATCATCACATCGCGTTAGCTACACTGTCTACATATTCGGTACAATGTTCTGGTTGATTTGTTGTTTAACAAGCTTCGGATCTTGTTGCTGTAGAAGATTGTGGCTGACTTGTGCAGCACCTTGGCTGCTCGACGGAACGTTACTCTGAGTATTTTGTGGCACTTGATTCTGCATTTGCTGCTGTTGTGTTTGCTGCTGAGCTTGCTGAGGCTGGTTCTGGGTCTGTTGTTGGACCTGTTGAGGCTGATTGTGAATCTGTTGTTGGGCTTGCTGAGGCTGGTTCTGAGTCTGTTGTTGGACCTGTTGAGGCTGATTGTGAATCTGTTGTTGGACCTGCTGAGGCTGGCCTTGGAATTGTTGCTGTGCTTGCTGAGGTTGGCCCTGAGGTTGGAACTGAGGCTGTTGCGGTACTGGTACTTGATACTGCGGCTGTTGTCCCTGGTACTGTTGCTGCTGCGGAATCTGACCAGGATAATGTTGCTGAGGCGGTGGAACTTGAGGTTGATAGGGTTGTTCCTGGTATTGCGGTATCTGTCCTGGAAGCCCGTGATACCGCACCTCGACTTTTTGCGAAGGATCCACTTGCTGCGGATTATGATACTGGGGCTCGTATTGTTGTTGGTACTGTGGTGGGAACTGCAAAACAATGAAAAAAAAAAAAAACGTGTTAAAAAGAGGTAATCATAAGTTCACTGAAAGAATAACTTGAATTGATGGAATACTTCACACTTGTGTAATTACTCACCTGCTCATGTTGGACAGGTAGATGTGCAGTGTCAGGGGGTGGTGGTAACTAACGACAACAAAGTGCACAAGCTAGGTTAATTATTCTAATTACTACGGATAGCACGTCTTTCAGTCAAAGCGATAGCGATGATAATGTCTACATTCTACGCAGATCTATCGAATGAAGACTCAAAAAACACGCTTATCGTGCTAGTAATTACAGTCGCGTATAACTGCGTCTACAAAACTTAGTCTTGGTTGGAAAAGCGATAAATGGGAACGTCTTCTAGTTTTACCTCGAACATGCTATCGAA